AAGAAAAGCCTTTATGTGTAAAAAAAAACTTACAGGCCTTACAGGCCCGTACCGTGAAGAATGACATGAAGCCAATGGCAGGAAGAATCCGAAGAACACTAACAAGAAATAAAACCTGGGAATTGGGGTCTCCGCCAATAAACAAGAAAATTTTGAAAACACGTTAGATCTTCAAGATAAAGCATAACTCTCAAGTCGGATCTCAACGGTTCAAAGCTAGATTGATTGTCAAGGGATACGAACAAACAGGTGCGGGGCATAGACTATCACGAAACTTTTTACCCGGTAATCAGATTCAACACTTTAAGATGCATATTTGCTATAGCAGCCAAAAAGGATTACGATATTGATCATTACGTGGCATCATTAATGGCATTGCTTAATGATGAACTAGAAGAAGAGGTTTATATAGAGCTACCGGAAGGAACCGTAAAAAAAAGAAAACAAAAACAAAGTTTGTAAGTTAAGGAAGGCATTATATGGATTGAAACAAGCGGTTCCTTCGCTTGAAATCGGAAACTGGATCAAACTTTACAAGAATTAGGATTCAAGCGTTCGAAGGTGGATCGGAGCATGTACGTACTAAAAGGAAAAAAAACATCATCTATGTAACCACATATGTGGACGATCTGCTCGTATTCTTAAATAACAAAACTTTGAAAGATTCTATAAATAAATAAACTGAAAAAAAAATTCAAAATGAGAAACTTGAATCCATTGTCTAAGATCTTGAGTCAATGTTCAACGAAACAAGAAGACAAATAAAATGAATCAGAAGGACTACATCGAAGAAATTTTAAGGAAGTTCAACATGGAAGTTCAACTGCAAACCTGTGAAAACTGGACATCAACCATCAGCTTAGTAAGAATGTGGAATCGAGTGAAAAAGTCGAATCAAATGTGATTGAAAACTTTTCGTATAAAGAAACATTAGGAAATCTAATGTCGGGTGGCATATCAAGTCACGCCACCCGATTTAGATTTGGCAATATTGATATTAGGTTCGTTTGCGGAAAAATCTGGGAAAGCGCATTGGAACGTGATCAAATGTGTATTACGATATCTTAAGGGAACAATAAACCTAAAGTTAAAATTGAAGATTGTTTCTCTTATTTTCATTTTTGCACTGAAAATTTTTATGTAAAAATGAAAATAAGAGAAATTATCTCCAATGTGACCTTAATCTTAACAATCTTGATGTTATTCAGGACATGATCCTGAACAACATTCAAGAGGTTTTAGATACGTCGATTGGATACCTCGCGTAATGCTAATGCCAGCGATATTGTAGACAACTCGAAAAGTATTTTATAAAAAATAACTTTATTGTAGTGTTTAGAAAAGTTCTTGACATCAGCTATTAAACTCTGGAATCAAAAATAGGGTGTTTCATTTTTAAAAATGGAATGATCGATGTAACCTAGACCCTTGATGACGTCACCCAAGATCAAACTGATCAATAAATAGATCTTTTTGAATTATACAATTTTTATCTGAAAACACTTTTCTGTAAAATTTATATTTTCTGTGTGAGACTCTAGATCGTGCGACACATTGTATATTAAAAATTAACACAATGTCATGGCTTATTTCGAGCTTTAATTAAATTAATTTTGAATTAATATAATTAACAAACATTTCGGTTTACAAATCCTCAGTGCTACAACGCAGAAATATAATCTTAAATTAATGCACAAAGAAACGGATACAATGAAAATTTAAAAACCATCAATGGTGAAGTGTCAAAATATAAAAAAATATAAAAAAATATAAAAAAATAAAAAAAAATTTTGAACATCAATAAATATCCCGCCAGATGATAGACAATAAAGTAGGAACATTTGGATACTTCAGTCAACAGTAGATTAATTATGTTTATCGATAAAGATGGATTTGCCAAATTCCTCAATTGAGATCGAAAAGTCAGTTTGTCACAGACTTGAATCATATTTTGAGAATTCTTTAGCTACGAGTATTTTATGATATTCTATAGAACAACAAATAGATTTATCAAGATAATATATTATAGTGAGAATAAGAGATACAGAATCAAATAATAACTTACGATAATTTATATAAAATACTATAATCTAAACTCTCAATCAAAGATTCAGTTAAGTACATTAAAGATACTGATTGTTGCTCGTTTGAAAATTAACTGATGTGAAGTGTGTAGGTCAAATAAAAGTAAGTCAATAAAATCGAATATAAAAACAAGTCTGTTCAAAATTGTGAATATTTATGTTTTCGTATATCGTCATGTTAAAATATGAGTTCCAATAACTCAGTATCTTTCATTAAATTTAAACCGTTTTTTTTTTGTTTTTTTAATATGTATCATTTCAGAAATAATTCTTTTAAAAAAAAAATCAAGGATACTAACTATTTCCCAATCAAAGTCATGATTAATTTCCGTGATATGTTTCGAGATTACTAAGTATTTGAACTGGTTTAATTTTATATTATTGCGATGTTCTTTAATTCTCGTCTGCAATTGTCTCTTCGTTTGGCCAACATACGATGCATCGCAGTTATTACAATTTACTTTATATATGACATTATTATTTTTATCACATTGATTTTTGTCTTTATGAACTTTGATAAATTTATTAAGCTTGTTTAAGCACCTAGTCAATCATGTTTTTGGATTATTATTAGTAGACTTAGTAATTTTATTAGAAATAGATCTTATATATAGGAAAATCATTATTTTTCTCAAAACTTCATCAGTGTCAACGTTATCTGAGCTGATGTTATTAACCATTGCGAATTTTCTACAAGTCAAACTTTTGATAATATAATAAAAAGTCATTCCTAAAGGATAATCGTTATCCTTCAAATTCTCTATTATACAATAAATTCTATATTCTTATTATAGAATGTAGAATTTGATAATAAAATCGCTCTATCAACTAATCTATATATGATCCCTATCTTATGACATGCGGGATGATTCGAATAGAACGATAAATACCCGAGAATGTCTTTTTATGGTATCAATCTAAAATGATAGTATTGTCTTTATTGATGACCGATAGATCCAAAAAATTCAGACAATGGTCTTCCTCATATTCAATAGTGAATTTAAGTCTATCGTGCTGTTCATTAAATGAATTTAAAATTTGAGTGACCTTATCTTTAGGTGCAATTATAAAGACATCATCAACATATCTAAAGTATGCAGAAACCCGAAATTGTAAAGAATTTGACACTCTCTCTTCCAAATCATCCATGACAATGTCAGAAATGATAGGGGAAAGAGGGGAACCCATAGGTGTGCCAAAAATTTGTTTGTAAATAATCCCATTAAAAATAAAATATGTCGATACGTTAAGATAAATTTGACCACATTAATGAATTCAATTACAATTTTATGTTTGTGACACCTTTAATGGAGTCCTTTCCACCAATCCATCCAGCGCAACGTCCAATGGAATATTAGTGAACAGAGAAGTAACATCTAATGAAACCATTATCTCTGTTTTGTCAATCATCATTCCAATTAATTTATTGTGAAATTCAAAGCTATTTTTTATTCTACTTTTTGCAAGAGGGATATTCTTAGAGATAATATCTTGCAAAAAACCAGTTAACGAATAGAACTGTGTTGATTGAAGAAACAATAATTCTAAAGGGAACGCCTTCTTTATGTATTTTTGATAAAGCATATGCCTTCGACAAGATGGAATCATTTGACCGAAGACTCCACAATTCCTTATTCGAAATGAATCCCTTCTAATGCCATTTTTTAAACATATTATTCATATATTTCTTTCAATTACCATTGCCGGATTTTTTTAACCACCAAATATGTATCAGAATCTTTAAGTAATTCATTAACCATATGGGATTGTTTATATCGTCCAATATCCAAAATAGAAATTAATTAAGTTTGAACAGTTATATCTCGAAAATTGTTAATTAAAAGAAGAGATTAATAATAAAAAGAGGAGATCGCGCCTATTGACACTTTTAATCAGGACACTAGAACTACACTTTCCCAAAATATGAGAAGATTTGATCGAAAATCAAAGAAAACATAAGAAACATGCGGAGTCCTTTGTACTGTCAACTTAACATGCCTCTTTTCTTTAAACAGATAGGATATTTTTTCGTTTCTGTTGTTCCAATCTGAGATAAAGATAGTAATGATAAATGAACAGGGGCCAGTTTTGTAAATACTATTTCATAGAGACTTCTGTAGAAATACTATTTTTATCACACATGCGCGCACGCACGCACATACATTCATAACCGCTGATAGTATGTGTGCGTGTGTGCATATGTGCGTGTGTGCGTATGTGTGCGTGCGTGCGTGCATGTGTGTATGTGTGCGCGCGCGCGCGTGTTATTTTTAATTTAAATAAATCAAAATGAATTTTAATAAGTCTTATCTTTTTTAAATTCTTTGGAATAGAATCTCACTTTAAAGAGTGAAAAATGTGCCAGTCTTAAAAAAGATTTGAGATTTTAATCTTTAAAGAGAGATTCATTTTAAAAATTTTAAAGAATAGTTTCAAACTAAAAATCAAATAAATTTGTTTATGTATTTTCGGCACAGGATATAAAAAAATTAAAATTGTCAGTTGTCTTTTTAAAGAGTTTTAAATAGAACAATAACATGGTATCTCATTTTTTTATTTGTATATAAAAATATTTAATTAATTTCTTCAAAAATATATGTAACAAATTTTTAATTTTTTAATTTTAATATTCTTCATGTTCATAATATTTGATAATTTTCTTCAATTTCAAACAAGTAATTACAAACACGATACTTTAAAGATAATTTATAGCTTCAATTTTTATTTTAATTACAGAGCTCTGCGACAATTAACTGTAGATTTGAGTTTATTGTATCTGATTTTCAATTTTAAGAAGATGAAAACCTATACGAATTGATTATGTTAAGATTATTGAAAATGTTAAGATGAAATATATATTCATTTGTATTTTTTCTGACATTTTAAATGTGTTTTTTTAACGAATTATATACTCACCCTTTCCGCTGTTTTCGGAAACTTCCGTCAGGTAATTGGCAACGCTTGTTAGCCATGAAATGACTTCCCTGAGCAAATATAAGATCCTCCAAATCTATCAAGTTTCTTGTACCTTGAACTTGTCCTCCAGGTCCTCCAGTATCCTCATTCTCTTCTCGTCTTTTGCGCTGGGATCTCGCTTCCATTGTCTCATCAGCGTCATCTTCACCTTTACCTGTATCTAATTGGCGCAAGATTTTGGCAAGCACTGGGTCATCATTCATTTTGTTTCGGATTTTTTGTCTTTCTGATTCGGACTGCGATGAGGCTAACATCGTACAGTATGCAACTGTAAATTTTATAAATAGTTTATTTCAAAATATTTTTCTCTTAAAATAATATATGAAACTACAAATATATAAATATTAATTTGATAACACATGCAATTCTTACCTGTATGTCTGTATTTTTTAAGCTGTTTAATGAAATCAAAGCAATCATAACCTAATAAAAGCACAAGCTGATTTTCGCATTCACGATCGTCTATGGCATCTTTCAAGACAGCTAGTACTTCAGCAGCTCTCGCTTGCGATACCATGGCATCATCATATATCCTACTTAATCTTCTTTGCAACCAATATGCATCAATGTCTAATGGATGTAATGGTTTTTCTTTCTTCATTTCTTCTGTTCCACCCAGCTAAAAAAAATATAACAGTTCATCATATAAATACTTCAAGTAAATTCTTGCTAATAATAATTGAGTTTCACTTATTATCAGGGCTGGCACATTTCAAATACTTGTATTTGAAATACAAATTATATTTCAAATATCATATTTCGAATATAATACAAAATTGTATTTTGTATTTTGTATTTCATGGTCATTAGATATATTTTGTATTTCAAATACAATTTTAATGTATTTTATACTTGAAATGCCAAAAAAAATTTTGATAATAATCCTTGAAGCAACGCGAATAGACCTATTGGCTGTGTTCGGAAACGTTAGAGTTATGGCAGAAAACGAAATGTAACTATCGTATTCGTGACGTAGGATAAGACAGAGAAAAAAACGTTGATGTCGCAATCATGACTAATCGGGAAAATGCAGGGTATGCAAAAAAATTTTGAAAGTATACTGTATTAAAAAGTATTTTGTATTTAAAATTTAAAAAAATTGAAAATATTTTGTATTTTGTATTTTGTTTTAAAAAAATTGTTTTAAAAATTTTGTTTTAAAAACATTTTGTTTAAAATATAAATTTTGAACGTATTTTGCATTTTAAATTTTGAACGTATTTTGAAATACTCAAAGAAAATATTTTGTATTAAAAATAAAAAATTTTGAAAGTATTTCGTATTTCGTATTTCAAAATCGAAAGATTGAAAATGTTTTGTATTTTGTAATTCAAATACTAAGATTGCCAATATTTTGTATTTTATATTTCAAATACTTTAATGGTATATTTTGCGCAATCCTGCTTATTATTAACCTCCGTGTAAAACTCTTGAATAGTGACCACACTGAATCGTGATGTCATAAGCAAGAAATGAGACATTAATTTTTACTACATGTCATTTGTAATAAAGATAATTTGGATAAAACGAAATAATGAGATCGTTTTGAAATACCTAAAAATAAGTCGTAGCTATCCTTAATTTCCTTGACAGTCAATAAATAGGCATAAAAAATTGTAAAAAGCACGTGAAATATATTTCATTCAATGCATATGCATAGTCTATTTTTATGTGCCTTTTACTACTATTTACTGCTTCGAATGGAAAGGAGGGAGGGGGAGGGGATAGCTTTGATCTATTTTATAAATGTTTTAGAGCGATCTCATTTCGTTTTCTACGAATAATATGTAACAAAAATTAATCCTTCATTTCATATATAGAGTTCAAAAAGTCCGAAAATTTAAGATATCATGAAAATGATCGACTAAACGCGAAAAATCATTTAAAAAATCAAAGTTACAGACCTATATAAAATACTTAATAATGATAAGAGTTCGATTTTGGGTGGAGTTTGCAAGGTCAAGTTGAATTTTTTGCACTCAACATGACTTGGCATTAAGGAAAACTTCCTTTGAAATCAAAATCGAATTTTTTTCTGTTACAGAGATTGTTGAAACTGAGAAATAGAAAAAATATTTTAAATAAAAGTTGAATGGAAAAGTTTCAAGAATTTATAATTATAGTAAACAAATTTTTTTAAATTTTCTTTTATAAAAAATTATTTATACAAATTTTTTATAATGTACAGTTATTAGTAAATATTCTTTTCTATATTTTCTTATTATAAAATTTTTTTTCTACATCTCATAGTTTCGATATTTACTTTAAAAAAAAATTTTTTTTTAAAAAGAGATTTTTGCCCTTTAACATGCAACTCAGCATATATAAAAACTCTTTTTTGTCCATATCTTAATATATTGCTCATTTACCGGAACAATAAAAACATAACTCTAAAAACTAAGAAAATTTTCAGAAAATAAGTTCGAATGTTTTAATCATTAAAATTTTGCAAATCATTTTTTAATGTACTTGCGTGCGTGCGTACGTAGGTACAAATTTATTCATAACAATTGATCATACAGGAATAAAAGTATCATTAAAGCTCTTTATTCAGAATAATAAATCCTCATTATCTAAGAACAAACCCTTAAAAATATCTTTTTGATTTATAATACTCGTGCTGCAAAATTTTATTTTCAATTAAGAATTATTTAGTAATATGACGTTCTTGTAAAAAATAAATTGAATAATCAATTATTTTGTTAAATTATTTGAAGTTGTCATTATTATAAATTTTTAACATTGAAAAAAAAATATTATAGAAAGATACATTTTGAATGAAGTAAAACAATAAATATAGAAAAAATATCAAAATAAATCATTGTAAAAAATTTTATCATAGTACATTTATATGAAAAATAAATTGCATTCTAAGATAAATAAAAAATAAATAAATTGATGCCTTTTTGAGCCGAACACACGATGTTGGTATGAAAAATAATTCATTCATTTATTTGAGATCTTGGCTATACGTTTTCAAGTTTCAGATCCTTTCCAGTGTCAATATAGTAATGGTATCAATCGAATGTATCATTTCAACGAACTTGATCGGTTTACTCCTTATTGAGATCTCACAATCGCAGTCTGAAAAATTCCGACGGTTCACATAAAGATACATGTCGCTGCGCACGTCTTAGTGCGAGATACTACCGTGTTTCCTAATATTTTATAATTCTTATTTGCTGATGCATAAAAATTTTTCAATTTTTATATTTTTGTATGTATACTGCCAGAGTTAGACATAATTGATTCATAAATGTAATTAATTACAATTGTAATTGCAATTACAATATAGTTATAATTACGCTGTAATTGCAATTATACTGTAATTGCAATTAAAATAATGGTTGAGTCACAATTATATTTAATTCAATTACAGTTTATAATTGTAATTGCATACGATTACTTTTACAATTATATTAGGTAAAATTATAAGTGTTGAATATAAAATTGAATATAAAGTTGGATATAGATCATACAATTTAAATGTAATTGATTTAATAATTTAATAAAAATAATCCAACAGTAATGTAATTGTACTTACAGTGGAATCATAATTACTTATAATTATAATTATTTACAAGGTTGGCAAGTAACACATTACTTGTAACGCCGTTACTTTATTGATCGTTACTTTGTTATAATAACGATTTGATAATGATATTGTGAATTTTTTATGACGGTAATGATAACATGAGAATTAGAAAAATCAAACATTACTTGTAACAGGTTGAAAAAGTTACGGAAGAAGATCTTAAAAATAGGATACATTTATATAATATTCTATAAAGCATTAAGGGGGGCATATACACCTAGATGTGGTGAAAAAATTTTCAATTTTTTTTTACATATTTTTCAAGTGTAATATCTTAAGAACGTTTTTATAGAGTTACAAATCAATCCGGCAAAAAATAGAGTTACAAATTATAAACGAGTAGATTCGAGCGCATTGAAGACGACGGGTAGGCACGCCTGCGACAGAAAAGTTCAAGCGAAGATCAAAGAAGGTTTTTTTAATTTATTTTCGTAATCAAATAAAAACGAGCAAAATTTTTTATGAAAAATCGTTATGTTAACTTTGACTGTTATTTTATTCAAACACAATATTTTAAAAAACAGCTCTGCACAAAATCTATGTTTCAATTTTATAAAACCATTTTAAAAACATTTTATTTTCATACGTCTTGTGCGAGCAGCAATGTCACCGCAAATCCCGTTTTGTAAAACACGATGTACGAAAATTTAAATAGCGACTTTATTTTATATTATTTTTTAATAAAATTTTAATGATAAATAGAGAAAATTATGATCTTTATAATGGAGCGAACCCGATTTCTCTATCTCTATATTTTCCACAAAAAATTTGCCAAATTAGGTCTCGTTTTGATGTAGGTGTATATGCCTTCTTATTCTAATTACAATTACAATCAATTAATTTACAATTAACAATTAAATAATTGTAATCTGTTCACAATTACTTTTCGCAATTACTTCATTTAATTATTTTCAACAATTAATAATTACGAAATATAATTACTAATTGAATTAAGAATTATATTATAATTGTAATTTGTAATTGTTAATCAAATTATAGTTTTGCACAACTCTGATACAAACTATTTTTATATATTTTTATTGTAAATTAACAAAGGATTATGATGATTTACTAACTATGAATGGAATCAATAAGAGAGATGACATCTCATACAAATTAATACTTGTTTAACCAAGTTAATAATATCATTAATGCTGTGCAGTTAGTCTTAACTCTACTTTTTTTACATTCAATGATAAATTTTATAGGCAAATCTTCAGAATGCCGATAGAGTCACCGCCAATTGTTATCGCCAATTGTTTTTGACATAGTTCTACAGGACTTAAAATCAGCTGCTTTTAATAAATTAACGGTCGAGCCTATTTTTTATGATAAGATTGGAAATAAGACCATTTATGTTACTTTACATTACTTTAAATACGCCACTACGGTCTAAATACAAAGATGTTGAACTATTATATATATTCATTTAAATAAATTAATTTCAAAAATTATAATTGCGTGCCGATATGGTCGGACTTTCAACGCAATCAATCTGAAATATTAATAATCTCCCCAAATTTCCCAAATTTAATCTTAAAAAACTGTAATAAACTTATTGTGAAACAATACAAAAAGATAAACATAGTAGGCTAATCAGCAATAAACGGCGCAATTATTTAGTAAACAATCAATAATCAGATATTGGATTGATATCTTCTTTATTTTGACCGTTTTGACTCTCTTTGAAGTCCTCAGCAAGATTGACAAGTATAATTAGCTTACATATTCATAATGCTTAAGTCACTCGCAAATTGACAAAGATTTTTAGGACACATGTCATACACGGACGTGTAAAAATATGTGATCTTTATATTTAATTTTAACATTTCTATTTTTTAAGTTTTAATATGTTCAACAAAGCTTCACTACAATGCTTCATGTTCCGTGATGATTAACAACGCTGCATCTTTGTCGATTTGCGAGTAACTTAAGCATTATGGACATGTAAGCTAATTATACTTACTGTATCATTCTTGTTGAGGAGGACTCCAAAGAGAGTCGAAACGTTCAAAATAAAGAAAACATCAATCCAATATCTGATTATTGATTGTTCACTAAATAATTGCGCCATTTATTGTTACTGACTCTCATTAGTTTACTATGTTTATCTTCTTGTATTGTTTAAAATTCGAGAGTTCTAATATAACTATTGTGATTGCTTATTGCAAAAAATATTGCCTCGGCCGGGAATCCTCGCAAGAGATCCCACGGAATGCAAGAGATCCGGGTTCGACTTTCGGCCGAGGCAATAAGTTTATTACAGTTTTTTAAGATTAAATTTGGGAAATTTGGGGAAATTATTAATATTTCAGATTGATTGCGTTGAAAGTCCGACAACCGCCATATCGGCATGTAATTATAATTTCTGAAATTAATTCATTTAATTTAAATTTAAATGTGAATATATACAGGGTGAGGAAAAAGTATAGAAATCCTCAAATAATATAAGTTTTACAGAAAAATGTTTCAAATAAAAGTTATAGGATTTAAAAAGGTCTATTCAATAGTCTCATCAGTTTGACTCTGACTGGCGTCGTTGAGGTCAAGTCAAAGTCACCTTGAATTTTTTAAATGGAAATTTAAAAGTTGAGTATTTTATAGTAAGAAGTAATAGACATCCGAAGACAAGGTCGGAATATGATCTAACAATATGATTTAACAATTACCATCCACGGCAAAGTTTATGATGGAGGAAGATGGTGACAAATTGAATTTTTTAGATGTGACATTGTTAAAATTCAACTCTATATGACTGGTACTTAAAGTCCACGTCACAGAATGCTATTTAAATTATTTCTCACAGCATCTGTATCAGAAAATTGGAGTCTTAATCAATCAGAATGTGGGCTTAATCAATAAAGTACTTCTTTTGTCGCATTCCTCCTTCTACGCTAAAAAATTTGATAAAATAATTAAAATATTATTAAATAATTGGTATCCATTGTAGTTGATTTTTTGCATCATCAGAAAAAAATTGTATAAAAAAATTAGCTTATGAAACAATTGTGCTTTCAATAAAAACAATCTTAAAATGAGAAACAAAAAATATTCTTTACAGTACCTTACATTTCTGATATTCCAGAGAAAATCAAAAATTTTTTAAAGAATAACAGGATAATTAGCATACAAAAGTGTCAATAAATTGAGCAGTTTTATTCAAGATTCACAAAGATAGGCTCCCGCTAATGTCACACATCAATGTGGTGTATAAAATAAAATGTAAAGAATGATGCAACATATGTGGTTCAGACGAGCAGAACTTTGGAAGCGAGAATCAATGAACACAAAACCCACATTAATTGGAAAACAACACAATGCTTGTAAATAATTATTGAACATTGGTTGAAATATTCGCATGATTTTGATTGGAATAACATTAAAATTTTAGATGAAGACAAAATTTTAAACAAAAAACTCATCTCAGAAATGATTTTTATCGGAAACAAACAGTTTAAATCTATCGCATGAGACCTATGACAATTTATTTATTAATAAATAATGTTCCCTCTCTTCAATGTTTCCTTCTATCTATATTTTTTTTTCCATACATTAATCTGACTTACATCATTTTGTTTAGATGATTTGTAACGTTCGTGTAGTTAGCATCTTATTCTGTACGCTTTAATGAAGATCATGTATGTTTTAAGATTTAATTGTGTATTTATTTATGTTTTTTTTTAATTAATTGTTATTGTATGGTATATCGAGAAGTGTAATAATTTTATTGGAAAGATACATTCAATCAACATCATTATTGTATTAACACTAGAAAGGCTCCGAAGCTTGGATCGAAACGTATGGCCAAGAGTAAATGAATAAATTATTTTCCACATCAACATTTTGTTTTTTCAAAAAAGCATCAATTCATTTATTTTAAATTGCACTTTGTTAGTAAACAATAAAAGTACATAAAAATAGTTTATACCGTAATATGCATACAAAAATATAAAAATTGAAAAATTTTTATGAAACAGCTTGAATATTACAAAAATTATAAAACATCAAAAGACACGGTAGTATCTCACGCTAAGACACGCGCAACTATATGTCAACGCGAAACTGACCGTGTATCTTTACGCGAACCGGCGAAATTTTTTAGATTACGATTATGGGATCTCAATAAGAACTGAACCGATCAAGTTCTAAATAAATACGCTCAATCAGTAGCTTCCACCCAAAATATGTAATGAAAATGTCTTTATTTTTTTCTGCGTGCCCTATGATCGGAGACATTGTGACGCAACGTTTTGATATGTTAAAGTCTTACTTCAAATAAAATAAGGAAATAAATCGCAAATTATAGTATGTGAAAGGGTAATTATGCAAAATAGGGTCCGCCTGGATCGTCTTGATCTTGACATACAGGGTCCATCATAAAAGTAATGCGCATTTTCTGGGAAAAATAGATTTATTGATCGTAGCGGTACAAATGCTCAAAATTCTTCAAAATACTCTCCCCCTGAATCAATACGCTTCCGGAGACGTGGCTACCACTCCTGGAAGGCACGCTGAAACTCCTCGACGGGAATGTCTCTTAGGAACGTTGTAACATGCTTTTGGATGTTTTCCACGGACTCCCCATGCTTTCCTTTCAGTTCTCTCTTCAGACGGGGAAACAAAAAACAGTCGCACGGAGCCAAGTCGGGACTGTAAGGAGGCTGGGGGACCACCGGGGTGTTGCTCCGGGCCAGGTAGTTGGCAACGATGAAGGCCGTGTGACTGGGGGCATTGTCATGGTGGTCACTATCCCATGTACAGCAAATGTGGACATGTTTAGGGTGTCAGCGATGTACTGGATGCTCAATCGACGGTCGGAACGCAAAACTCGATTCACGTTTTCGTCGGTTCTGGCCGTTGTTGGGCGTCCAGAACGGTTCGTCGGCGACCTCCTCCCGGCCCTCCTTGAACGCCTTGTGCCACCTCCCGGACTGTGACCTTGAAATGCAGTCGTCCTTGAAGGCCTCTTGAAGCATCTGGAATGTTTCGGTTGCATTCTTTCCAAGTCGCACGCAAAACTTGATGGCGTATCGCTGTTCAAGCGAACGCTCCATCGCGCCGTGTTACAAAGTCGAAAAACACACTTCACGCGGAGGCACGTCTTTCCACTCAGACTGCTCGGAGCAAACTGGCGACCGGCTGCCTTGGAAGGGCAGACCCCCCACATTTCCCGACCCATTTTACCTCGCTGCGATGGATATTCGCGTCACAATAAAATCATGCGCATTACTTTCATAATGGACCCTGTACATTGTATGCATACAATGATCCTGAGTGATCTTCAGAAGATTTTGGCTGGCGCTCGTTATATTCGTTAAAAAGTTATTAATAAAAAAAGTTCAAAAAACGTGTGGAAAATTGTACGTCCCAAGAAGAGGGAAGTGTAGGATATTATTTAATATTGAATATGTATAGCAGAAATGTGGCTGTGTATATTTCTTAAATTATTTTGTTAATAACTTTTCAACGAATAACAAAAGTGCCGGCTTTTGAAGATCACTTTTAAAGATCATAATATTGATAACATATGTCAAGGTCAAGGCGATTAGAGCGACCTCCCTTATATTGCATAATTACCGTATTGTTTTATCAAGAAAGTTACAAGTTAAAACAATATAAAAATTCAATGTTTTTTTTTACCTTTATCATCAATGTCGTACTAGGAGATATGACGTTCTCCGTGAAAACTAAATGAGGCCTTCCTCTACAATTGCTCAGAAATAACTGAGATCACAGACTTCTATAAATAGACTGCCGATTTTGCATCTATGTTTGAAGAGAGCGCTGGGGCTTGAGCAGCGTCATATTTGTATTGACTCATTTTCATGTATAAATCATATGGATAATCACTGCTCAAGTAGGGGAAATATTTTTAATATCTATTGTATTGATAATAATGTAATACTTATGAAAAAAAAAGAATATTACTTCTTACTTTATATCGACTTCAGGAGTTTATTACACTGCGAACAATCATTTTATATTATTGTTTTTCAAAATACAATTAAAAAGCTACCATTTGACATTTATGATAATTTTTATTCTGACTAACATAATGTTTTCACATTCCATTCACGCGATACAGACAGGACGTATACATATGTGAACTGAAACAAGGATAGCTCCGAATCAAATTCATCTTTTTCAATCACATTAAGTCAGCAGTCTAGTTATAAAAGTTGTGGATGAAACACTGTTGAATCAAAACAATTGACAAAATGCAGTTTTGATACAACTGCTCTCTTGTGATAAGTTTTAGCAACTCAGTTATGTCAATTTACAAGAATTAAGAACATTAAAGGGCCATTCTATTTTTGGGTGCATTCCGTTTCACGCATGATGTGTATAATGAATCATTTATCCTTGTTTAACATTTAATGAACGACAAGGATCATGCGCATCATGTATGAAATGGAAATGTTGTAAATAACTAAAAAATGACAATTTCTGAGTTGTTTGAGTTATGTTTTGTTAAAAATAAATGATATATCCAAAGCTTATCAAAATTAAAAGTCAGTTGGTTGTGTATTTTTGTTAGTCATATAATGTAAGAAATTTGTGGCACAATGAAGGTCATAATTGAAGGAATACGATATGAATAGTAACTTGTTTTGAAAATCTACATTTCAATAAGACTAATTGATCAAAATCTTACGTTTTCTGCATGAATAGCTCTGTCATCATTAGCTTCTTCACCTTCATCACCTTCATCTTCATTTTCTCGTACTTCTCCATATACATCTTCATCATCTTCTTCGCTACTCTCTTCAAACTGTACATTGATCCCATATGTTTCGTCAATATTTTCATCGTTTGTTGTACTTTTTTCGTCGCTACCAAAATCCGTAATCTTCTTACCAAGATTTACAAGCAGTGCAAATCTTTCTTCTGCTAATAAACCAAGTAAAAGTTCAGTTTCTTTTTTCTTTTCTTTCTCTTTAAGTCGATCATTTTTTAATACAGCTAGTACTTCGTCAGCTGCACCGCAAAGAATATCACGTGGTTGGTCACCCAAAGCTTCTTGTATGAAACTGAGTAATACTTCGTAAGTTTGACGTGTCTCTTGTGTTTTTGGACGATATACAATACCAACCATTTCATCCACACCTTCAGATAATAAGGTTGCTCCTTTCATACGAGTGAAGTCATATTGTGCTTCATCACGTTTTTGTCGTCTATAAAATGTTAAACATATTAACTTTGGATAATTTAAATATATATATTATAAACTGTTTTTATAAACTATATTAACAGATAGTTAATCTGATAGTTAATTGCATTATCGTAATATCGCTTTCTAAAATTACAAAAACGGAAACTATTTTAAAATTATTACTATTATTTTATTAAGTGCACAAATAAGTTTCCGCCATTTGACAAAAGACGGCGCCACTAGCAAGCTATGGTTAAAATTGTCTGATGTAAAACATTATATCGTAAGGTTGGACATCTGTTAACAACATAACCTTGAAATACTAGCGATTTTGTATCAGCATCATATATTTTTTTTGTGCGAAAATGCCGAGTTTTGAGTCGAATAAGCGGGAACTTTTGATTTACTTCTTTAATTTGAAGAAATCTGCAGCTGAGGCTCATCGATTGCTTGTAGAAGCATATGGTGAGGCTGCCTTAAGTGAGAGAAATTGTCGTGAATGCTTTCAAAAATTTAAGAACGGTGAATTTGACGTCGAAGACAAAGAACGTAGCGGAAGGCCGAAAGTGTACGAAGACGCGGAATTGGAAGCATTATTGAATGAAGATTCGTGCCAAACGCAAAAAGAACTTGCACTTACATTTTGACTTACATCAATAAAACATTATGTATCGTTCTTTCACAATAAATGCTTAATTTTTGATAAAAACGGCGGAAACTTATTTGTACACCTAATAAAAAAGTAATAAATTACACTGACAATAATGAATTGTCAGTAATTTATTACATTTTTAAAAATAGTAATAATTTTAAAATAGTTCCGTTTTTTGTAGTTATATAGAATTGAAGATGCAACTCAACTTACGTTTCAAGGGAACCTTCTATTTTTACATGCTGTAAACATCAGTTCATCCTTGTTATTTATCAAATATTAAACAAGGACAAATGATACTTACAAATGCCCCGTCTTAGACGGAGAGCACTCTTACATAATGCATAACACATAATGCATAAGAAAATGTACCAATCAAAGTCCTTCGTTTGCTTCCTTTCCATGAAATAAAGAACTCTGATTGATTGGATTTCTTATGTGTCATGTAAGAATTTGTGCTCCCCGCTTTAGGCAGCAGTACAGGCTATTGCATAACGCAGAACGCATAGTGCATAAGCGAATCAACCAATCAAAATGCTTGCTTTTCTCTCATGTTACGGAAAAGAAATTTTGATTGGTTGATTCTCTAATGCATTTTATACTGCGCGTTATAGAAAAGTCTTAGCTACGGTCATTATAGTTACACAATTTTGTCTGCGGTTGCGTTAATGCCTACTGCACATTGGACACGATGAGTGAATAATGAGAGGTCTGCTTTGCATCGTCACGTACGAAAAAGCAGAGCTTTCATTAGATATCGTTCATTGTTCATCATTCATCGCGTATGCAGTAAGCATAAAACGATGAAAATTCTCTAGGCTCTAGATAATTATATAATTGGCATAAAACAATGAAAATTATCTAGACACCAGATTTACCAATTAAAGGAAGGTACACTATTGTTGATATATTCTTCTACATCTGAAATCTGATTGGATGATTTTAAAAAATAGATCAATGACAGCGAGCACTCTGTTGAGTCAATTGTTAAGTCTGCTCCCTCAATTGTTGAGTCTGCTGAATGCAATCTATATGCAAGGTCCTGCGCTCGTAATACAAGAAATAAGGAATTGGGAATAAGGAATAATGATTTCAATTTATTAGGAACAGCGTATTCAGGTATATCGGATTATGTATTCCTTAGTTTAATACGGATTTATTTGTTGTAGAAGTTTAGTGCATAAAAGGACATGTAAATACAATTGCAAAGATAAATCACCATGCTTGAGATCGTGTACTATATGCATTTCCGCCATTTTAGCTAGCATTTCTGAAATCAATTGCGATACGTTATCAATTTTTTAAAAAGAATTACGTAAAAATTATTGTTACCAAATTTACGTAATAATGATATGTATCATTTGTATAGAAGATTTGGTATCAATGACTGATGCTAAATTAAATTCTACTGCCTTCTTATTCGAGCCTCCTAAAAAAAAGTAATATCTAGTAACTTTAATTTTTCTTTAAAAATATTTTCATTGAAATACAGATGATCATTTGTGATAGTTATGTCACAAAATTTACTTAATCCTATATGATATGTATCATATGTATAAAAGATTTGATATCAATGACAGACGCCAAGTTAAATTCTAGTGCCTTTTTATGTCATCCTTCTAAAAAAAAGTAATACCTAGTAATTTTAATTTCATTGAATACATATGGCCATCGACGTAATATTTATATTGGCCGCAGTACAGACTCTTGCATAACGCATAATACATAGTGCATAAAGAAATCAACAAATTGAAATTCTTCTTTTCCATAGAATGGGAGGAAAGGAAAGATTCTGATTAGTTGATTCGCTTATGCACTATGCGTTATGCGTTATGCAAAAGTCTGTACTGCGGCCTTATCATTTGTATAAAAGATTTGATATCACCTGGTGCCAAGTCAAATTCTGTTAATGCATGGTTAATTTATTATTAACTTTAATTTTTCTTTAAAAATATTTTCATTAAATACCAATATTTTCATTAGATGACCATCATCATGATATTTGTTAACTAAAGGAAATCGGATACGAACGAAATTGCATGCTGATATTTGTTAATAAAAAATGCGTGATAAACTTAGTTTTTTAAAAAAAGGTGCAAAGAATATTTTCAAATAGAACTTAAACCAATCAGCAAACAATGTTTTTTAAATGTTCTTTAAACGTTTATTTTTTATTAATTTTACATTTTTCACGATTCGTTTTCAAAATTCGTTAATTTAACGTTTATTAAACATTTTACTCTTTATTAAACATTATTTTACATTATAATTTTTCATATAAAATAAATGATTAAAAAAACTTTGTTTAAACGTTTATTTAACGTTTATGTAATGTTTATTTTGAATTTATTTTATTTGAAATAATAGTTTGAAAAAACATTTTTTAAACATTTATTTAATGTGTAAAGAAATGACGGTCTAGATCGAGCGGTAACAAAGTTTATATAAAATAATTTAATCATACAATGTTAGTATGACAAACAGTGAATATCAAAAAAACTTAATGTAATGAATCGTACGTTTCAGAATTTACATACTTTAATTGGAAGAGAAAATGTCTTTGAATTAATTGTGATATAATAATTTCATTTAAAAGGAATTTAAACTATTCAGATTGGAATAGGAAGATCCTTCAACAAGATACGTATACTTAGTTTAAAAGATAGTACTATTTATATTAATTAAATAATAAAGATAGTATCATTTGAGCTTTACTTTTTATTTTGCTAGTAGAATTTAACTTCACACCACAATTGTTAATATCAAATCTTTTGTACAAATGATACATATCATTAAATAAATCATTCAATAAATTAATATTCATTATATATATAATTTGTCATAATAATTTGTCATAAAGAAATGGAATTTAACTTGGGGGCCAGTTTTTGATATCAATTCTTTTATAGGAATGATATATATCATTAAAGTTAATATTATTTATTTAATTTGGCATCAAAATTATATAGAATTTAACTTGACGTTAATTATTGATATCAAATCTTTTTTACGATCGATACATAAAATTTTGAGGAATTTAACTGGCGTCAATTTTATCGATATCAAATTTTTACAATACATATCATTAGAGTTAAGTAAATAACAAGAGACGATATCAATTGTGTTTTACTTTCTAATTTGATAGAATTTAACTTGTGATAGAATTTAACTTTGAGATCGGTAATTCGAAAGGAAAGCAAGAATTCTTTCAGTCGATCGACATTAATTGTCATCGAACGCATGCACAAATTGAGCTCGTGATTTCATCTCAAACATGATTTTAATCCTCGTTAAAATCATCAAATTCGTCGTTCTTTGTTCTTTTTAAAAACAATTCGTTACACGCAAACAAGCTGTCGTTACCGGCAACGGACAATCGAAAGTTCTAGAACGATTCAATTCGCGCACGCGAGCGCCGCGCTCTAACGAATACGTCATGCGCTGTCACCAATCCCACGCACGGATTTTCTGCCGCGCATGACTGTTACGTTGAACGTCGCTAGAAAAGAATTCAAAGCGCCAATCAATTCTGTACACCTAATGCCACGTAATAATTACGATTGTGGCAAAATTTTATTGGATTTTTCCCAAAAGGGAAAGCTCAGGCCGAAAGCAATAAATGCTTCGATCTCGCCGTCCTCCTTCTTACTTCCAAAAAGTTCTTAGAGTTCTTAGAGTCATAATCTCGCTTCGTAAAATCGCCGTGCTAACCGTTTAGTGAAATCGCTATAAACCGAATCTTTCGAGAAGTGCCGAGAAAAATCGCCGAGATTTTCCATCACCGCGATTCCAAACTCAATTTGGAAAAGGTGACCGCATTTGATATTTTGTTGCTCTCGCTCTGGTGGGCTCTCGCACTTTTTTTGGTCCTTCGAGCCGGATTCTCGCCGGCATCCGCAGTGTCGAGTGTATCGCGTCCAGTGCGCGCATCATCAAGAAAATCAGAGAGAGAAAAATTCGCAAGTGAAATCATGAGTGACGACATAACCGCCTTGCTGACCGCCCAGAGTGATATCCATAGTCGCCAGGTCAGTGACCAATTTAAAGAAAATGGGGACGGCCCACATCACCCTCCGCGCTGTCGAAATCCGCTCGACGCTTCTCGACCAGCTGTGGACGAAATTTGAAAGGCACCACGAGCTTATTCGAGCACATTACAAGGAAGCCTTCGATCAGAGTGAGTACAATACGTCTCAATTTGCCGATTCCGCCGAAATCACGTACGTGCAGCAGCAAAGTCTGCTGGACGAGTACCGGACGAAACTCATGGCGAAGGAACCGAGTTCAGTTTCCAAAACAGAAAGTAATGTGTCTTCCGGAAAACCGTCGCTGCCTCGCCTCAAGATTAGTTCTTTCTCTGGCGCATTCGA